GAATCATTTGGTATGTGGAATGAAAGATTTCTTACCTCTATGGAAAGGAAATTTTATTTCAACCTTTTTTTTTTATGTAGTTGCTAACCTTCATACACATCCCTTCACGTGACTATGGAATTCATTCATGATTGTCTTTAGATGGAAATGTAGAGTGATGGTTATTGTATTGCTTGTTCATGTTGCAGTTATTTTTTGATTGTATTTTTAGAGAAAACTCTGTCCAAATTTTTAATATTTTGAGTGTCACACGTACACTCACACACACACAACAGACAAAAAACACTCGATACATACACCCACACACGCATCTCACAAAATCACCTACACACAACACTTGCACCCAATTTGTTCTTCTTTTTTTTTTTTTGTTCAAATGCACCCAATTTGTTCAATTTGTCCCATTAGATACCCTCGTGCACTTTCCCCAATAAATGTTCCCAAAATTAAAATTTATATCAACTTTATTTATTCTAGCTAATTAATTTGTATGAGAATTTTATAAATTTCATTTCTTTCACGCATTTTTAGATGTGGGATTGACTTTTTTTTTTTGGGGAATAATTAACATTGAGTAAATTACTAATTCGATTAATGTTACGTAGATTCAAGACTACTAGATATTATTATGGAGGTTGTGAATAGTAAAAATTTCACTCGATAATTTCCACATAATTGTAATGTAGTTTTTGATGATTTATTGAATTGAAAATTGATTTAGAAGTACTTTATGTTGTTTCGTTGTGTGATTAAAGTTGTCTAGGACTAAAAAATTTTATAGATCATTTTTAAATTTTTGAGAAAATGGTCTTACTATACAATTTTATGTTTAGGTTGACACTTTTTCAAGTATTCATATAGTACAATTGATGTAGTTAGTTTCCTGTAAGAAGAATAGTTTTTACCTACTTTAGATGCATAAGAGGGACATACACCTTATTTTTTAACCACATATATTTTACTTAGCCCTTTATATAGTTAGCGTCGATTGACTTGTGGATCTTGACTTAGAGAATGCAATACAAATTGATTGCATTGGTGCAATTAAATTTGATAGTTTAGAGTTATTTGTTTAAATTATATTTTATAGAGAGTAGATCGTGTAATTAGCATTTTATCGGCTGTCAACACACCTTTATATTTTCTTGAGTCTTGTTTTTAGAGATTACTCTGTCCAAATTTTTTAAATGAACAAAAAAAAACAAATTGTTTTGATTGAATATTGGTTATTTGAACAAATTAACACTTAGATGATTAACACCTGGGGAGGCACATGGCATTCAGCGGCAGCAAAAGACACTTCTAGGCCGGCGCATACATTAAAATAAAATAAAGTACTCTCGTCATCATCGTAAAACAGCTTATAATATAAATTTTAAAAAATAAATAAAATAATTTTTATTTTTTATAATTCAGATCGTTTTAAATTTTATTTTAAAATTAATCTAACAACTAATATTAACACCCTAAATTTAATAGGAAAAATAAGATATTAAGGGTGTGTTTGAAATGACTTTTAAAAATACTTTTACGAATTATTTTTCATAAGTACTTTAAAAAAAATAGTGTTTGAAACCGTGTTACCATTATCTCTATTATTACCATCGTCGTTGCCGCCGCAACAGCCACACTGTCACCGTCGCCGCCACTACCGCCACCACGGTCATTGTCACTCATCATAACCATCACAGTCTCCTACCATCATCATTACAGCCCACCACCTCTCATCCCCACTATAACCGATACTTAAATTTATTTATTTTTCTTCTATGTTTGTGATTTAGATATAAATACAAATATTTTCATTGTTTACTATATTTATTACTCCGTGTCTTCAGGCACAAACAATAACTAATATTATTATATAATAAATGAGTGAAAAAATTCTATTTTTTTTTTATTTTATTTTTTGTTGATCAGATAATAACCATTTATTTAATGTAATGCATTAACTACCATCATGTACAAAAATAAAGTCAACTTTGTCTATTTAATTATTTTTTATTAGTAAATAATATCACATAACAATAATAAAATGATGTCATCATTACATCAAATATTTACTCATTCGGCAGATTGTTTGGGAAATACAATGCGCGGGGAGAAGGACAGAAATATTATGATTAATCATTAAAATTATAAATTTTAAAAGTCAAGTTATGTCTTTTAAAGTTTTAATAACTTTCGGTACTATAATACTATCTTATACTAAGACTGTCCAAACAAAAAATTATATAGTACCTTGCGTAAAAAAAAATTATATAGTATAAAAATTTCGGAGGTATCTCTTAAATTTGTTACAAACTATAGACCTATATCCTTATGATTTGCCCAAACTTTATGATATGGCTGACTCCTTTTCATTGTGCCATGTTTTCATTATGCAGAGGAGGGCCCCGGCCCACGGTGGTGATGATGTTAGTAGATGATACCATCAAATTATTTATTATGTTGTAACGTAGCCTTAGCATAGAAAAAACCATGTATTATAATTAAAAAAATAAAAATTTTAAGCAAAAAAGAAATGGAAAGTAATTTATCTATAATAATATATAGTATAATTAGCGGCCCAATTCATGCGATACACAAAATATATAATTTTTTTATTCATTATTTTTCCCTTTCGCCTTATCATTTAAAAAGTTAAATAAAAATTATAGGATGGTAAAAATATTTATGTTAGAATAAATAGTAAAAAATAGTGGTTTCTTAGTAGAAAGTTGAAGGGTTGTTAAAAAGGATATATTGTAGAATGTGTTTAACGAGAACTTTAATTTTGTAATTAAAAAAATAAAATCCTAATAGTTTAAGAAATTTAGAAGGAAAGGGTTCTCAACCCTTCTCCCTTTCAATTTATTTGTTTTATACATGTAGAATGATTTGTATCCAATGTTATTTAATCTTAATTTTATGTATTTAATACTAACCTTTGCTGTTTTTATACACAAACTTTTTATTCGAGTGAACACATACTTGAAGACAATAAACCTAAAAGTATTATCATATTTTCTTTTACACAAACATATAATCCATTAAAAAAAAACTTATTATCCATAAAATTTTTGTGCAATAAATCCAAGTAAATTTTCCTAAAAGACTTTAAAAATATTTTTTTTAAAAAAAAACAGAAAAGTAAAAAAGATGCATTTGCACTCTATTACTTAAATGAATTTTCATATCAAAATTAGTTTACTTATATTTTGATATTAATTTGATTGATTAATTATTATTTTTTGAGAAGAAAAAAATAATAATTAATCAATCAATTATTGCACAAAAATTGATCAATCAATCAATTAATATGATTGATTAATTATTTAGATTAATGAACTATGTTATTTTTAGAAACCATGGATTAATTCTAATTTGTTATTTCAGTATTATCATATTTTTTTTAGTATTAAAAAATATGGAAGAATTATATTAAAATTTCTTAAGATTTATCACTTAATCACTTAAATCCTCTGATATTTAAAATATTACATACAGACCATCTAATGTTTGTATACGCGTAACTCTTGGACCATATCCGCCAATGTTTATAATACTTAGACCCCTCAAGTTTAAGATATTATACTTAAATCAAAAATATTTCAATAAAATATAAAATATAAAATATTTTAAATTTTACAACCAAAATTTATATTCTATTGTATCATTTATTAAAATAAAATAAAATAAAATAAAATCTAATTTTTTCTTAAAAAATTATAATTAGTATACAATTATATTATATATTGGAATAAAACTAAAAAAATCAAATAAGGGGTCTAAGTTATTCATAATTGAATATAAATTTTACAACCAAAATTTATGCTCTATTTATGTTATTTATTGAAATAAAATTAAAATTAATAATATAATTTTTTCATAAAAAATCATAATTAGTATACAATTATACTATCTATTGAAATAAAATTAAAAAATCAAACAAAGGTCAAACTGTAACGGACACAATATTTTCTATCTTTAATTGAAGTAATTTGATAAATTAATTTGGACATTTAAACGGCCAAATTAAATTCCAATAAATAGTATAATTATACACTAATTATAATTTTTTAAGAAAAATTAAATTTTTATTTTTTATTTTATTTCAATAAATATCATAATAAAATATGAATTTTAGATGTAAAATTTAAAATATTTGATATTCGATTTTTAATTAGAATATTTTTTATTTAAGTATAACATTTTAAATTTAGAAAATCTAAATATTACAAGCTTATAAATTTCAAAGGATCTGAGTATAATTTACTAACGAATATACTAATTGACATTGATGACAGAGTCTTAGTGTTACAAACATACAAATCTTAAGGGATCTAGGTATAATATTTTAAATATCAAAAGTCTGAATTATTAAGTGACAAATCTCAAATAACCTACATATAATTCTGCTAAAACAAATATCCAATCCGCCTAGTCGGCTGAGAACATTGCCTGTTAGTACTATACTTACAATTATTTGCCGGAGAGCTCATAACACTTATTTTGGCGTTAAAGTTAATGTGTCAGCACGTACTCTGCGCCGAAGATTAAGTTTAGCCCCTCTAAACTCTCCTAGTTATATGGAGATTCAAATTCGGTGAAAAATTTCAAGTCTAACCCATTGACCAAAAAAAAATTGACTACGTTAATTTGTGTGTCCCACAAATTATTTTTATGGTAGACTGTAGATCTGCACACTACGTAATAGTGTCGCCGGGTGTCTTAAACCCATACATAATTTTATCGGTGGGATCCTAAAAACAATTAAAAATTTCGATCCTAACCCACCTGCGGTTTCTCCAACCAACGGCCGCTTTGCCGTCATTACCAATAACACTAACTCCCCCAAAAAGCCCTTGAAAACCGAACTTAATTACATACCACCATATACAAACCCTGCCTCAGCTTCTCTTCAGGTTTGCTAAAACCTCTCCCAAACCACCGCCCTAAACACTCCCTCTTTAAATAAACATCTCTCTCTCTCTCTCTCTCTCTGAAGTGGTTTATCAATGGAATCATCGTCTAGAACCAAATCGTATTCTCTCCAAAGATCATTATCTGCTTCGGGTCGATTCTGTTCGTCGTCTTCCTCGGCCTTCGCTTCCTCAATGTCCAATTTCTCATCCCGCTCTACCAGTTTGTTAACCCGGTCCTCTTCACCGACAGGGGTGAATCTGTACAGATCCTTCTCGCCTTCTCCATCCGTACGTTTAGCTACCTCTGCAAGCCGTTCGATCGCGGTCTCTCCTCGAGACCAGAAGCGAAACCCTAAGTCATTATCTGGTCAGAAGAAGACGTGTGCATGCTCGCCTACGATGCATCCGGGTTCGTTTCGGTGTAGTTTTCACAGGAATGCGAATAATCGTCAGAATCATAGTAGTAATCCGGTGTCGTATCATTCGACTGGTGGTTTGGATGCTCGGAGATCGGCGATGACGAATTCTCTGGTGAGGATTGCGACTGTGGAGGGGGATTTGGTGAAGAGAGCCTTGGCAGCGTTGATTCGGCCGTCGTCGCATCACCAGAGACGGAGAGCTGATTTTCGGCCCAGGCCCAGTCGCTTATATATCATGGCCAAAGCCGAAGGTCTATGAGTTGTTCAGAGGTTTGGTACTTTTGACATCTACGGTGGACCACAGAGTTCAGATCTAAGAGCAGGCGATTTAGTAGTTTTTGAGCTTTAAACCCCTAAGGTTTTACAGAGACGTAGAAACCCTACACACAATGTTGGGAAGCCTCTGTGATAGTACATGAATATAAAATTCATATTTTTTTTCCATTGAAATTAACTATAAAAAATGGGAACACACAATTTGTAACTAAATAAATAAATTTGAGGAAAACAACATATAATTTTTCTATCAATCTTGTTTGGAAATCTTAGAAGTGAATGTATATGATGTGTTTGGGGTGTTTATGTATGTGCAATTGGTAATTTGATGATGATTCATTTTCAATTCGACATAACCAATTGTTAACCGTATGAGTTGTAAATTTATCAAATCTTGATAATTTTTTAAAATCAGATTTGAAAGAATTTATCCTCGTAAATATTTTAATTTTGGTGAGAAGATTAGTCGAATTACACTGAAGTTGATGCGATAAGGGGATTAATAGAGATAAGGGGATTAATAGAGGTGCGATGAAAGTATTAATCGAAATGCACGTAAATTAACACAAATACCTGAAAAAAAAAAAACTTGACATAATCAATTAAGTTGGCTGATATTAATGTCTTGCACAAATTTGATGGATGTTTAGATTTGAGATTTGTATGTAATGCAATTGGAGGCTGAAAATTTGACTTATTTTATTGAACTAATAATATGGTATTATTGTAATAATTGAATTGATACTAAATTCTAATATTTAATAAGTCTCATGGTCAATTTAATAGATATAATTAATTATATTTATAAATTAAGTTAATAAATTAAATCTCCTTGCTCGGCTAATTTGTGAATTGGGTTTGCAGCATCTTGAAGGTGACGTGGATGTTTCATTAAATGATCACCTTTAACAAAAAAGTAATGTTAGATAGACTTAAAAAATAAATTTAAAAATTAAATTTGATAATTTCAATCATTGAATAGGTAGTAGATTTCAACAAATGCTGAGACTCACAGTGAAATCAATGATTGTAATTATCAAGTCTAATTTTTAAGTTTACTTTTTAAATCTATGTAGCATTACTCGATTAAAAAAAATACTTCGTGAGTATACCGTAATTAGTGGATTAAATATTAAATTGCACTATTATTTATTTAATTAGAACTAATATTTTGTTTGATAAATAAATTTGATATTTTATTAATTTTAAAAATATATATTTATCGTATGTATTTTGTATCATAAATCTGTATTATGAAGGTATTTTAAGATCACCAAGAAGATGTGATATTATAATCTAACTTAAATGTATTATTATATGCATTTACTATTATAACCGCACAACTGATAAAATCAAGTTGTAATCAATATAACAAATATTGATTTAAGATATTTTTGTTAATTCAACATTAATACAATGAAATAATTTCCTAACCAAGTCACGATTTGGACTAAATAACTATTATTCAATGTTTATGTTTTGTATTGTCAAACACTAGATAAAATTACATATTATTCTAATACCCTATTTAATCTTGTTTTTTATCCATTTATATTATATTAAACTGAATTTTTGTATCCAATATATCCATTTCTAATACATAAACCAAATATAGTGATTTAATCATTAAATTCATAGTAGTTCCTAAACAGGATTAAGGTTTACTATCAAATCAATGACAATGGAATTAATTGTTATTTCTTCCGGCTTAAGAAAGAAATTAGAAACAAATAACAATAAAAAAGATTGAAGAATTTTAGCATATTTTGATTAAATAGTATGTTGAGAGGGACAGCCAATGAAAAGCTAAAACATGGCCACATACACATACTTGGAATAAAGAACATCAACTGAAATTCAAATAGTGATCTGACTCTAAGTAGTGTTACCATAAAATGGTAAGTTTTTGACATTGTTGAGCCACTGCATGCCCCGCCTGTATAAATTTAGTGGGAGATCTTGCTTGATATATCTTTTAAGTTTTAACAAATTTGTTTGGGTGATATATTTGATGATACCAAAAATTATTCAAAGTTAAACTCGGAACAAAAGTAGTTCGAAGACATGGCCCTAATAAGGACCTGAATGTTGATGTTAAAATTTGGGTTCCAATTCAAGATAATTAAGGTCGAGTGAACAAGCTGAACTCCTAATCCTTAGTTGTCCAACTCGTGACCCCAGCTCAAACCTTCCAGCTTGTGACCCCAGCTCAGACTTCCCAGCTCATGATTCCTAGCTCAGGAACCGCAGATCAGGAGTCAGCACCAACGTGACACTCGTGCACACTACTACAACGACAACTCACATCTTCTAGAAGGCCACATCATGCATAGAGAATATAGCCTCCAACAATCAAATTTTCAATTACATGGGTCACAACAATTCCAAAGGGTTCACGTTGATTACGAAGGGACTATACTTCTACACAGTATAAATAGGGATCAATCCCTCACATTGTAAAGGATCAAATATCTGTAAATTGACTCTCAAGAGTACTATAATTGTCTTCCCCAAGTAATAGCAAACTCCCCAGGGAGTAAGAGACTCCACCAGAGTCGACTAGCCAAGCTTCCAAGCTGGTGAACCATTATTGATGATACCCAAAATTTGCTCAAGGTTGAACTCGACCTTTCAGCTCGGACATTCCAATCTCAGATCACTCAGCACATCGCAGGAAACCAGGGGAGTTCAGATCGGTACCCCTTCCTCAGCAACTGCACCCCTACAAGAATAGCAAGGGTGACAACTGGCTTCCACCTAAGCACCACACATAACTCGTAACGGCCTTATATATGGGCAAAGAAGTCATAACCGACTCAACGATCTTCATGGCAATCGCGTAAAAGGCGCAAGCATTACAAAAAAGAAGGCAATGATCACGCAAATGATCAGACAATGCCTTAGAAGGCTATAAATAAAAGGCATACTCCTCACAGTGAGAGAGAGAGACATTGAGCTTAAGCATTACTCTGTGTATGTTAAACAACAAAAAATTTAGCACTTGTCAACTTTCGGNGACATTGAGCTTAAGCATTACTCTGTGTATGTTAAACAACAAAAAATTTAGCACTTGTCAACTTTCGGTGTAAAATTTTATTTTAAGAGGTCAATAACGGGTTCATGCTCGACGCATGGTTCCCTAGAATTATTTATCGTTGACTTGACCCATAAAACTCAATTGTCAAATTTTATGTTTCAATTTGACCAATTCTAAATAAAATATATTCCTTGTGAGTTTTGAGAATTGGATGTCGATTACGGCCATAAAATTCTCAACTGCTACTCAAACGCCGTTGTGTATAGGAATTAAATATACCTACAAATTCCAAGAGATAACCCACCAAGCAAATAATGGGGGTTAGTAAAGTATCCACTAGCTAGAATTAATATGAAGCGAGGGAAGTTAAAGAACCTGGCAGAATATGTGGAGGCCAGTAAATCTCATGTAATTTGACACCTAACCCACTATGTCTATGCATGATCAGGTGCAACTCCTCTATAAAAATAGGAAGGTAATGGGTGGCAAAAAAAAAGGAGGAAGAGATCTGAAGGGTTTTTCAGACGGTTATCAAAGGAAAACGAAAAGGTGAGCTAAGGAGTTAGAAGATTTTTTGGCAGAGAGAGGAGAAGGAAGAAAGGCAAAGGAAAAAAAACTTTGAAGCATTGCAACAGGTAAAAAAATAAATCTATTACTCACTTCCTTATTGATTTAATCTTTTCGATCTTTGATAGCAACAACTCGGTGAAAAACCATAGCAATCTGAAGTAATTCTGGCGATACAGATCCTCCAAAGTTGCAGATTATAGGAGTTTTTTTTTTAACTCCTTATATTCGGTGTCGTGCAATGATAGCAAGAGTTTGATACTCTTTTGAAAAATCGGCAAGAGCCTTGAGTTCTTCGCTAACCAAGGAAAATGTCTCCCTCTCTCAGCAAAGTCCACTAGTGTAAACGGATGGAAAAGATTTTTAACTTCATTGGCCAAAAATATGTGTTTGCAACCTCGAGTCTTTGGCTCTAATGGAATGAAACTTCAGCCCATTCCTAGTCCATTTTGTTACTAACATCCCCTGTTGTTGCAAAAAGCCAATGGCAAACACAATTCAAAAAGGGTGGAAGAATCAACAAGAGTCTTTTGGACTCTTTCAATTTTCCCCATTTTGCCTACTAGCCTGCTACCAAAATTTTTATTTGCTCGCCATTAAAGAGTCTCATACTCTTTAAAATCAGTCCATTCCGGTGATCCCAAACTATTTCTTAAGTTGCAAATTATAGGAGTTTTAAACTCCTTCATTTCAGTGCGAATTGCAAGAGTATTACACTCTTTTGTAAACCGGCAAGAGTCTTCGACTCTTTTATTAAATAGCAATGTATCGTGCACTTCTTGGTGTTTAAAAAGGGCAACAACTCATGGTGTTTAAAAAGACCATTCTAAAATATCTTTCGTTGGTCTTTCAAAGATCATTCTTAAAATCTTTCTCTGGTCCTTTAAAGACCAAATACAATGATGTTTCAATTTGTGAAACTTGATGATGCACAAATTGGTCTCGTACTAGATCAATAGTTGAATATGTGAAGAAGTGTAATTGATGGAGAGTAAATAAATCAATCAATGGCAAAACAATAAATATGAGGTTAACACAAGATATATAGTGGTTTGATCCAGGTGACCTACTCCATTGTCGAAAAATGGCACCGGTGGCCGAGAGTCTTTATTGATAAATAAAGTAACAGGGAGAAAGCTCTAAGAGAGTATGCTCCAGGAGAGTTACAATAGCTAAGAGAAAAACTATATGCATAGGAGATTTAGAGAGGTAGAACTCAATGTGTAGTGAGATGCCAAGATGTAGAGACGCTTCCCCATGTGGGAAGAGCTTACAATTTATAGGTATGGTGAGACAGGTGACATGAGTGTGAGGGCACTACTTCTTTGGAGAGGATAGTTACAAAAGGTAAGTATAACTAATTCTTGTGTA